TAAATGATCTTTAATCTCTCAAAGATTATCTTAGGAAACAGACAATAAGTAATATTTGTTCAACTGACCAATTTCCATTATCAGCAATACTCAAATTTTTAAAATTAGGATTAAAGATCACATGAATTTCAGTCGACAAAAAACTATTATACAGTATCAATTACAAGTATGAAATTAAATATTTTCTAAAATTTATAAATTTTATCTACTGTCTCGTATTTCTTCGCAGAAAGATCAATTGAAATGAATAATGGAATATGAATTAAGAAATAATTTGAATTAAAAATAATGTTCAAAAATAAAGAATAACGCCTGGTATCTCAACAGGAAAAGACATGTTTTGTTACTAATTCGCCGTTTACTCAATTAGTATTTTGTGCCTCGTAACCTTGGTATCCATTTGGATTGGCTTCTCGAATACTATAAACAATAAATTATATAATTAGATTATTAACAAACCAAAATACTTAATATTCCAAGTTAATAGATAGACTTACAGTTTCAAGAAAGCCTCTTCCAATCCCTTTTGACTTACACCCCATGAACTAATCAAAGGCTTTCCATCTTCCACCGAGCTCACTTCTTGATTCTCCTCAAACCACTTGACTAATGCTGGTAAAGAAGGTAACGCAGACATTGGTAGTTCATATATTAATGCGCCAGCCGAATCATCCTCTAATACGGCATTTGGTACTTGTTGTTCAACCAATTGTTTCGCACGGTCAGAATCTAATGGATGTGTGACCAATGAAACACGATAACCTGCACCGAATTTATTCTTTAAATGAATGGCATTTCCTAGTGCACGCAGACGACCATGAGCCATTACACAAATACGATCTCCTAATACATCAGCTTCCTCCATAGAATGTGTTGTCAAGACAATGACTCGCCCTCGTTTGAAATTCTCAATGAAACTCCAAACATGACGTCGATTTAGAGGGTCCATTCCGGTCGTTGGTTCATCCATAAATATAATTTGTGGATCACCAATCGTTGATATTACCATACTTAAACGACGTTTCATACCGCCACTATAAGTTCCAGCAAACTTATCAGCTACTTTGGTAAGACGTACAGCGGCTAATCTCTCATTTATTAATTGTTCAATTTCTTCGGCCGGGATCATTTTAATACCAGCGTAAAGTCGAATATGTTCACGAGCTGTGAGATCATTGAAAAGAAGATCATGTTGCGGACAAACTCCCATAATTTTACGAATTGAATCCATATCTTCACGAACGCTTAAACCATACATTAAAGCATCGCCAGCTGTTGCTGGTGTCAGCCCAGATAAAATGTTCATAGTTGTGCTCTTTCCTGCACCATTCTGTCCAAGTAATGCAAGACATTTTCCCTCCTTTAAAGTTAAGCAAAGATCATTTACTGCAACTTTATCAAGATTACTCTCATAGAAAATTGACTTTCGATAAACTTTACGTAAATTGGCAATTCGAAGAACAGCATTATTATCAAGGTCAAATGTCGCATCTCGTTCGGCTGCAACATCCGCATCCTCGTCCGCATGAGATCCATGAGCTTTTCGATATTTTTGCAACCAAGACTGTAACGTATAACCTTTTGATATTCTCAATCCCAAATATCTTGGTGACAAAAAGAACAAAGGTGAACGACGTCTACCGAATTCATCAGGAATAACCTTATCAAAATACAAGGTAAGGAGTAGATATAAGATAATGTTCATGAGCAACAAATACCAACTTTGAATTGGAGCTGGTACATCAGGTTTACGGCCGGCAGCATTATAAGATACAAGATAGCTAGCAGGTATTGGGTTGTAAAGATCACCCCATTTGAATCCAGGTCCAGGATTGCTTGTATCGGTCAAATAATCGTATTTGCCATTGGTTAATTGTGACATGTCCAAGTAAATTTTGCCAAAATTGAAGAATGGAATGAACATTAGAATTATCCATCCAAGTTTGCTTGTGCTTTTATCCCACCAAATATAGCCAACGTATGCATTTGAGAATACGAATGATTCGAAGATAAGTCCGAGAATGAATATGAAAATACCGACTAGGACTGCGACTCGAGCGGCACGACAGAAGGTTGTGATGAAAAAGGCAAAAGTAACCATAGCGAGACCAAATAAGATAAAAGTAATCAGCAATACCAAAAAGTTTGTGTGTCGAAAGACGGAAAAATCGAAAATTAAACCAAAAATACAAGTAACCAATGAGCAGATTACCACGAGCCATGCATTAGAAATTAAATATGACAGCCAATAAACTTCTTTCTTTAAGCCCATCATAACTAAACTGTCTGTTAATTTTGCCTCTTTTTCGGAGACTATAGTGTTCAATATTGAGATAAAGATAATCATCTCAGCACAAAAGAAGAATAAAGCGCCGAGATTTGCAACGATCTGATCAGTGATGGTTTTGGGCGGGACAATAGGCCAGTCCTTTAATTGAACATTTATGGCAGGTGAATCCGATGATCCAGCTGAAGAATTTGTCGCGACGGTTACTATAGATATTATGCAAAATATTATTGTATTATTATTTTATTTTGTTATTTATAGATAACAGTTCTAGACTTTTTTACTTACCAATTGCTTCATCAATACCTCGCTGAAAGGATAACAGCTGTTCATTGAAAACATCTGTATTATTATTTGTCTGAGTGCTATTAAACCAGACCTGATAACGATAGTTGTTATCAACTGTAGTAAATTCAATACCAAACAATGTAGTATTTGGATTATTTAAAGTATAACTGTAAATGAAGTTAGCATTAGGAACCGCAACAATTCCCAATTTCCTAGTTGGAGGCGTATTAAGATCTGGATTTTAAAAAAATAATATTAATAAAATAAATTTAAAATTCAAAGGGAGAAGAATAGGTTTGATAATAACCTAAATTAATATCTTCTAGTGGCATCGGTTGTCCCGTTCTTTTTTCATTGTTTATCGAGAAAGTTTGCATTATCTTTTGAGTTTCTGGGGTATTTGGTGTGTACATTACATTTATACAAGGTGAATTCACCGAGCGTCCCTATTAAAATTATTCATAGAACATAGAATTTAAGAATAAACTGACAAATTAAATCTTGATAAAAATTCTTCTATTCACCTGACACTGTAATAATCCCAAAAGTGGATATGATTTTGGATGATAATAAGATCTCCTTTGAACCGAGTTATCGGCTTTTTGCAAAATAAATAAAAGAAGCAAAAATATGAATGGCCCTGCGAATGCTTGGGATATTGTTGATTTACGATATCGAATCTTTACATTTTTATTAAATTAATTAGTTAATTAATTAATTAATTCATTCATGATTTATATTATTAAATCAAAATCAACTCACTTGTAGAATAAAATTCCTCTTTATCATAATCCATAATTGCACAAGGAATAATTTGAATACGTTTGGAGATCGTGGTGGAGTAACAACTTTTTCATTTTGATTATACTCGCCCGAACCAGAGATACCACTACTCGAGTTTAGCGAATTCTGACTGGGGGTATTGAGCGTATTACTATTAGTTCCCCAGTTGGGAGAAAGTTGATCCATATTAAGGTACTAATTATATTTTGAATTTATGGTTTAAATTACGCGTTTGATCCGAGGTCAAAAAATTAGTGTTATCAAAGTGGATTTTTCACGATCTTAAGATTTGAATAACAATAATATCTAGTAATTTAAGGAACTTAAAACCTACGAGAATGCTACAAATTGTTGGAAGTATTTAAATAAAAATTCAAAGAAGACTTCTTTTCTTTGGAAGTTCTATTCAGAAAACAAATTGAAACAAGGGAATTTTCACAAAAGGCTGAGTGCTAACCAAGAAAACGCGATTTCACTCCAATAGGAGAAAGAGAAATCTCGCCAAGAGTTCATAAAAAAATATTTCTTAATGGAATAATAAATTTAAAACAAGAAAAGCAACGAGAATGGATCATAATATACATTTTTTTTTAATCCGAAGATCTATTTTATTATTATTAGACCAGTGATATTTACGCGTACATGATGTGATAATATAAAATTTGTATGTCCCGGACAGGAAATTGCATCGGAGAAATAGTTCTACCCGCACTGCCTAACCCCTTTTAAGGTTAAATAAAAAAATCGGAAACTTTTTCCGTCAAAATTGAAAAATTTAGCGTTAGGCTTTAGACCTGCCAAGTTATTGAATTAGAACATACGGTTTTTTACCACATGGGAATTTTTTTCGTTATTTAGATTTCCAAAAATGGGAATTCAGCAAAGATTTCCGTCGAAGATATTTTAAAACAAATGTTATGAAAACGAGTTTTGCATGACAATTCAAACGATTAAATTGTTCTTGACCATCTTCAAAGTTAAAAATACCATGAAAAATTGACATTCTAATTTTAATTCTTTCAATTGTTTTATTCCGCTCGAACGAATTAAAAAAAAGAAATTTCTTCTATTACAACAAAATAAGATAATCATTTATTGTATGTATGATCATACAACACCTCCTAAAACGTGTTCATAACAATAACAATGATGAAAATCATCTACCAAAATTATAAATGTTATATGTATATGTTTGTGTTTAGTGTGCAGTAAAACTAGAATGACATTTATTTATTTATTGCCTTTTGTGTACTGAATGAAACTATAACGATGATTGAATTAGATATTTTTGGTTGGCTGTTGGATCGGGATCAAAAAAGATTTTTCGCGTTGCAAGAGACTTTGATGTCGTATTTATCAATTCGAGATAAAAATCTTTATTTGACGTTACATAATTTATCTTTTTATTTCTTCCAGAGATATTGTCGTCAGGAATAGCCATACAGAAATCAAGGTTTTTTAGTGCATGTATGTTATTAAGACGCGCTTTATCTGATATTATTGGGGTTCTAGAATAATAAGTAGGGCGTTTACCAATTTCCTTTAATAAAAAAAAGAATTCTAATTCTGTTGCAGTAACAAAAAAGGTCTAGATGATAAGAAAGTAAACAAGTTTTATTTCAGTTTAAAGGGTAGCTTAAACGAAGACGCAAATGTAAAAAATTTTTTAATTGGCTACTTATTTCAATTATAATAATGCGTTTCATAAAATATAACACGGATATTTGAATCCACCGTGAAACTCAATTCATTGCATGATTCCAAAAATTTCCGGGAAAAGCTAAAGTGGAAGTATTGACATAAAATTCATTAGCTAGTTAAAGCGTTAAACTTTCAGACTATATCCCCGCACTTTGCGGTTAGTATTTTTTTTTTATTTGTGTGTTACACATGGTCCTGCATTTGTTATCGGGATTGGTCACTTTTTTATTTATGATATCATTTTAAACTGTTTTCCTTGGATTGTTTATTTGGAAATCGAATAAAAAAGGTAATACTTGTTATCACTATTAAATTGAATAACAAATAATAATAAAAAACATGATTGAATGGTGAGACAATTTCCGCGGTTTATCATAATGCCGAAATTAACAGCGCCATTGTAGTCTGGACGGAACTTCCGTTCTCCAACAAAAACGTTGTGCTTTTCTGCAACCTAACCAAATTCGCAAACATCACATTGCCAAGTATCACATTGGCAACTAAATTCAATGCCTATATTAAAGTAAATGGCGTGTTTTTTCTAGCATTCTTCAGAATCCATCATAGAAAATCGTAAATAATAAAAAGGATCGCTGGGCATAACCTCGAAGAATATGATAAAAAGGACTTAAAGACCAACATTTTTCACGAACAGTCGAAGAGAATCTTACTTGAATATTCTTTTTTATTATCTAAATAAATACGCATTTGTGTATTTGCAATTTTTACACCTTTTTCCTCTTTAAATTTCTCTACTTCGCGGATTTTATACAGAAAAAAAACCAATATAAAAATTTAAAATAAAAAAGTTCTATATAAAAACAATAGTGTCGAAAGAAATTTATTTTGGAGAAAAGTTAAAACAAGTTATCTATCCACTAAAGACATTTTATAATGTCTCGAACACCAAAAAAAGCTTCTGTCGAGGAAGAAATCACTATCGATAACGGAGATACACGAGATTCAGGTAAAACATCATAATAATATACATTTGTTTTAGTTGATTTCCGCCGTTGATAAGTATATTTTTTTCGAACTTTTCATCCCTTAGATATTACAGAAATTCAAATTCAAGAAAATGAGAAAACCAAAAATGCCAAAGATTCAATGAATACGCAACTTAATGCTGACAGAAAAAGCTTTCAGATTCGTGCATTGGTATGAAATTTATGATTTTTGAATTTCGAAAATCTGTAATAAAAAAACTAACAATCTCAAATTGATTTTTAGGCAAGAAAAACGATTTCGTATCAAAAACGACAAATGTTTGCAAATATTTGTTGTATAACTTTATGTCCGTTTTTGATGGTTTTAATTTCCGGAATTTTAGGTATCGTGATTAATGCATTAATTAACAATTCATCCGGTGGCAGTCAAGGTATGTGTTCATCGCGTATATTCCCATTACAGCTTTATTTATGTTACACCATGATCTGCGCACAATAATTAACTGGTTTTTTTTTCGGTTGTTAGAGTTTCTTTTCTGCTCGAATGCAAATGCTTCTGATCCGACAACAGGCCAACCATACAAGCACGATTCCGATAATCTTCCCAAGGCACCTAGGAATACAATACCAAATGCCCCAAGCGGCGTCGACACTGTAAAACTCACAAATTATTATATACCTCCACCTGGAGACGATCTCTTTGCCCCAGCTGGCACCGAACAAGGCTGTGTATACTGGTTTGAACACGATTACCCTTACCGTCTACCTTATGAGCCAGAACCAACGGTTAAAAGTAACGACACGTAAGTTGCATAATTAAAAAACATTTTAACTTTGGAATTTTCTACGAATATTATATAAATTGCAAATTATTTTTTTTATAATAGAACATTCCAACCAAATCCTCCGAGTGGTTGGTTTAGCAATACGACACTCGGTAACCCTATAAATTTATCATATTTGGCTATCCATCAGACTCTTCCATATTTACTAGTCAGAGATGCAAATGGTGTTGATTCAGGCGAAAAACCTCGTCAACCACTTCTTCCATTAAGTGCACTATCAAATTTGTCTGACACCACCACATCAAACGATTCTCTAAAAATACTCAACTCTATTGAAACTAGTTATTATGTAAATATCTCACGCAACGACTACAGTTTGAATGGTTTCCAGCCTGTGCCATTCTTTGAAAAACTTGGACTAAGTGAGGAGGAAATGGACGACCAATTAACACAAAGAATTCAAGAATTCATCTTTGAAGTTATCGGCGTAGACAAAGCCGCATTGGAGAATACCGATTCTAGTTCTATTGAGAAATTGAATTTTTTTATCAATATTGCTGATATTGTAGCAAGAATGCCATGGGGAAATCTCTTATTCGATGTGGTCGATCCTGTAGCTAAATTATGGAATTATACAATGCAGATTGGTCAGGATAAACGTATCGCTGCTGCTGCTTCATATCCAACTCAAGGATTCCGTCGTATCGCCACTCAAAGTGATCTTAGCAATGGCATTTTGAAAACGGCAAAAGCTTCACAATCGGTCAAAATTACACATGGATACAGAGTCATGCCACAACTTTATTCCTCAAAGATCAAAATCGCTGCCAGCGCATTAGTTGGTGGAATCTTATTTCCATTTGGTGTCTCTTTCCTTCTTCCAATCTTTGTGATCACTTTGGTTAAAGAAAAAGAAGAACGAATCCTTGTGATGATGCAAATGAATGGTCTAAAGAGCTTTGCTTATTATTTGACACACTATATTCATTTCTATTCGCTACATATTATTACAACAATAGTATTTATTGTCACTGGTATTATTTTCAGAATGGAATTCTTCACGTTAACTGATCCAGGAGTCTACATTCTCTTATTCTTCTTCTGGGGACATATTCAAATCGCCCTTGCTTTCTTTTTCACGGTTTTCTTCAGTAAAAGTCGAACCGCATTAGTTATCACATTTTTGTTGGTATTATGTGGCGTCATTATTAGTTTGTCCACTACAAACTTATTTTTGGATAGCAAAGCACCAGGCTACTATTTCATCTGGCCACCATTTGCTTTTTACCGTAGTCTAACAGTGATCAACCGTCATAGTGTTAGCAAAACATTATTGCCTTATAGAATGTCCGATTTGACCGGAAACGATGAGGTTTTGACTGCAATCATTGCCATGATTGCTGAATTCTTTTTCTTCATGGGATTAGCATTTTACTTAAATCAGGTAACGAAAACTTATATTATCGTCGTTTATTGCTTGATTTAATACTAATTGTATTAATTTTATTCATGTGGCAGATTATGCCCTCAGAATATGGTGTCCCAAAGAAATGGAATTTTATTTTCACCGAACCATTAAAAGTTTTCCGAGCTAGCCGAAAAGGAAAGGCTTCCAAAGATGTTCCTGTCACTTTAGAAGAAGGTATTCCTGATGTAGATCCGGAAGAAACTCAATTTGAGGATGTGGATGTCAAGGCAGAACGTACTCGTGTATTAGAGAATCGTTATCCGGCAGACTCACCCTTAGTAATGAAACGTATGAGAAAAGTTTATAATAGCGGTAAATTGGCTGTTAAGGATGTCACATTTGCTGTAGAGAAGAGTCTTATTTTCGGTTTATTGGGTCCTAACGGAGCTGGTAAGCTCTTCATTTTTCATTTTATCGAATCTATAATACACTCATTAACTGACAATTGTTTATTTCAGGTAAAACTACACTTATCAGTATTTTGACTGGACTTTATCCACCTACTTCCGGATCTGCCAGTCTCAATAATTACGATATTCGTGAAGATATGGATAAAGTGTATATGAGCATGGGAGTATGCCCACAACACGACATTCTTTGGGATGACTTGACTGTTGAAGAACATTTACTATTCTACGCTCGACTTAAAGGAATTCCAGCCAAAGATGAACCAGAGGTAGTTAAAACCGCATTACAGCAAGTACGACTAGAACCATTCGCGGGACGATTATCGAAGGGTTTGAGTGGTGGTGAAAAGAGAAGATTATCAATAGCTATTGCTTTGATAGGAAATCCTGCCGTAGTGTTTTTGGATGAACCAACAACTGGACTTGATCCCGAAGTTAGACGATTGATTTGGAATATTATACAGGATGCAAAAGCTGGAAGAACTATTATTTTGACTACACATTCTATGGAAGAGGCCGAAGTTTTATGTAATCGTATCGGAATAATGGCAAAGGGAACGTTAAGATGCATCGGACCACAATTACGATTAAAAGACGTTTATGGACGTGGATTTAAGATTAGTATTAGTTGTCGTCCTAAAAATCTCGAAAGAGCTACTGCGTATGTATTTATTCGAATTTTTTTCTATCGAATTTTCTGAATATCTATTAACTCATTTTATATCCAAATCTCAAATAGGTATATTGAATCGTTATTACCACCAACAGCAAAAAAATTGGATTCTTTCGTGACGAATGTTTCTTATGAATTTGAACCTAAACCTGGTTTGATCCCAAGACTGTTCTCTGAAATAGAAAAGAACAAGAAACAGAATGGTATTGATGATTGGGGTCTAAGTCAAACTAGGTAAAAACCCGTTCATTCCTTGTTTATCAATTCCTTGTGTCAATTAAAATTCTAATACATGATTTTTCTGTATTCGTAGTTTGGAAGAAGTATTTTTACGAATTATTGGGGAAGCGGATGCTGAAGCTGATTAAATTCATTCTAATTTTTGGGGATTTTCACTTTTTCGATTAATTTAATAATGAACTTTGTTAATTTATTTGAGACGATTTGCTTAAAGAACATTTATCTCTTTCTCGTTGTAAATCATATCACCATTACCACTACAATTATATGAAATATACCATTAGATTTTTTCGTAATTATGGTTTTTATTTGAGAACGATATACTTTTCCCCGTCGAGAAATAATTTTTTGTAATTCAAAATGTATTTATAGTATTAATAACATATCATATCAGTAGATAGTAATGAAAACAAAGATTTAACTTTCTCATAAAGACACATTATTTTATGGTAACACTGCTCAAAATAATAAAAACCTGAAATTTCAATGTTTATAGCTAATTATGGCATCATTGAAGGTCATTATTTACTGCTGTGTCATTTAAACAATTAACAGTAAAATGAATGGTTCATGAGTTTCACATGCAAGAAAAATGATATTGCAAGCAGCACTAATGTTCCAATTCCGGTATGTTAGATAGACAACAAAGTCTATACAATATATTACCGAAAGTCTCAATCGCCACTTTGGAACCAGCCAGTGATCCCAATTATACGAAGATATTACCATAGGAGTCGTACGTTCGAGACCAATCTAATGGGAATAACTTCATTAAGCGGGGATCGCTGGATTTTACCAGTAATATATTGTGTTGAAAAGACATCAATTTTAAACAGCGATAATTTATTTTGCTATCTTCCTTCTCGAACATATCTCTATCTCCTTCTTGGTCCAATATCTTGTTTGAACAATATATAACATTTCTTGAGTTGAACGTTTTTTTTCTTTTTATTTGGTTCTTATCTCGACGATTCAACGAATCGTTTTCCTCAAACGAGATCGTTCTAAATGCGTGTCATAATTTCAGTACTTAGCATTTGCTTTTTTGACTTGGTGTTTTTAGAAAATAATGTCATTTGTTTGGATAAAAATTTCAAGATTAGAAACGCCAGAGACTTTTTATACAATATATTCGAAATCAGTCATATGGATAACTTTACGAAAACCGACATTCCGTCGTTTCAGCAAATAAATCATTGATACGTTATATTAGATTATCTCCGTCTTTTTAATGCTAATTATGTGTCTTTTGCGTTTCATCATTTTTTTCGTTATAAACGTTAAAAGGTCTGTCATAACGAAACGAATATAAATCCGAAGAAAGAGAACGCAAGGAACTTCTTGTAAAAAAGACAAATATTTATCCCTTAATTTATATAGGGAATTGATATATTTGAGCAAGAAAACGGGTATAGATATGCATATAACGATAACGATATATGGTTTCAGTTCAACCTATACTTTGATCCCCTGCAATCTAAGCAGCCCTAGACGTTCGTTCACAAACCCAATTCTGGATATATATGTGTATATGAAACTGTGCGACCAACGGTTAATCGGTTGTTGTCGGGTTTAAGTAAAAGTAATTTAACGTTTTCCAAGCGTTTATGTAATCTTCATATCATTCTAAACGTTTTATTTATTAATTGTTGCTCAATTTAGTATTAGTAAAAATGGTTAATAAAAAGTCGCCCTATCTCCTTTTCCTCCTCTTTCTACAAATTCAAGACTCCGATAATTAGTTTATCGTGTATGGGTGTATAATATTTGTATATATGAGTATGAATGAATGATCTCAAATATCAAAAGTTTGTTGCTTGAAAAGCAGCAGCAGAAGAAAGAAGAGTTGCTCGATAATTTATCCCCGTTGGCTGGCCCAATAATTCTTTTATTTGATTCCTTCATTCTTTCAATTAAACATTATATCGGTTGTCACGTTTTTTATCATAATAATATTAATTACGCTTATTTATTATCCCTTCCTTTGATTATTTTCTGTCTATTACTAATAATAATCATAATAATTGATCTTTAATTCGTTCGTATTTATTTGGGGTTTGACGGGTTCAAACTTTGCTCGGAAGGTAAAGAGAGAATAATCAATCAAATAACGCTTTGAGCATACGTTCTTAAAATACGTGCGGACTTTGTTTTAGTTCTTGAAAGTAACGACACCACTTAGTTCTTGAGTTAAACGAACAAGAAAAAAAGTTTGAACGTATTCAAAATACGAAAAAATGTCTGGACGCTATGCTGTTGCCACGATAGCAGCGTCGTTTTCGGTAAATTATTAATTTTTCAAATTAATTCGTAAAATATGAGAAAAAGAGCAATAAATTCATTGTTTATTGTTTATTATTTATTATATAGATATGGTGTGTGTTTGTATCGGTGCTCACATTTCTTGGAGCAAATGGTAAGGAAATATTAGTCAAAAAAACGCGTTATATCTCATAATTCAGCACTAATTCTTTTAAATTTTTATGTTTTACAGGGGCCGCATACCATTTGCCTAGTTTTTATATGCTTGGCTATGGCGCTATATATGCTATACTCTCGCCATTTGGCTTAGCTGGAATCCTTGGAGCTTTACATGTACGTCTATTTTTATAATTCGTAATTGGTTTAATTTACAAGTCTAATTAATTTCTAAACAATAATATTCTAGCGCAAGAAATCATTAATACGAGGATTCTTATTTCAATATTCTGTTGCATACATAATACTGACCGGAATGAACGTTGTTAGTGTAATTCTGTCACATAAATGGGAACAAAATACACTATGGGTGTGTGTCTCGGAAACTTATAGACCAGGAGCACAAGTTGCTGGAACGAAAAGATGTGAAAACAAAGTAAAAGAGGGGCAATTGGCCGCTCTCGTGTTTACATCTGTTCAGGGTGGTATAATGGTAAGTTTGGATCTTTTTCTTCAATCTGATTTTCTTTAATATTTGATTTTAATGATTGCGAATTAAATTTCAGTTGATTTTTGGAATAATTTTGCTTATCTTTGGAAGACGAGAATTCCAAAATATCAAAATCGACGAAGAAACCAGCAGTTTGTTAGAGAAATCGGCCTTCGTTAAGGATGAGTTATTACCATCTGAACCAAAAAATGTTCATGGTTCTTCAAGTTATAGATCAAATTACAATAATGGACTAAACCGCAATCCAACAACTAACACAACAACGTCTGGACTTTCTCGTCATACAACAACTAGCACATCAACATCTGGACTTTCACGTCATACAACAATCAACACAGCATC